CAAGATGGCTGCCAGTCGGCCATTTTGAATTGAATCGCTAAACCACTGCATGTGCATATGTCCCACATAAAGTACTAGACACATGCAATAAGTGAACGGAATCGGTCCAAGGGATTTGGAGATATGACTCCGGACGGACGCACAGACATACAGACGCACAATGACTGAATTATAAGTCCCCGTTTTCGGACTTCGTCCGAACGGGGACTAATAATCAGGGTACTTACTCTAAGAGGGGCTTATACGCTAAACTATTTGGAATCTGCAGATGTGTCTTCAAAGCGTTAATTATCTTCTCCTTGTGGTGAACAACTTGCGCATACGTCGTTACATCTCTAGCTATTTCTTTGCTAAAGTTTGCTGAAAATAAAAGAACATTTTTATATAAATATTGGTAGTTGACTCGGTTAGCACTGTGTTATACAACATAAAAAACACAATTTCAAGGTACTGATTGTGTAAAGGATTAATTTTGCATGTATTTTTTTATTGTGTTTTATTTTATTTTTTATTGACTATGAACTTCATCATTTGTTTCTATAAATTTTATTCATTTGCTGATGAAGTCATGAGGAGCACTATCCGGCCGTCACGATATGCCATGGTTCCATGCGACGTATAGAACATGTGTAAAATTTGTTTACCCACAATTCAAAGGTCTGTGCAGATCAACCTTTGCCATATATCACTGCGTTACGATGAGAATTGATAAAAAACAAATTTAACTCACCAAAATGAACCGTGCAATTCAGTTCACGCCACTGAAGGAATCCATCAACAAAATGGGAGTCGCAGTCCTGCATATAAGATTCATAAAACAGACAGACAGACAGACAGACAGAATGATAATAGTTTACTTGCATGAAATAAGTGAAAATGAGTGGAACATGCCATAGATGGGAGGGACTGGTTTATCAGTTTGTATTACAATTTTTTCTATATGGAGCAGTGACTGGAAAATATGTTCAGTATAAATGACTAGGAAAAGTATGTGAGCTTGGATAAATCTAAAGAATAGACAATGTAGCTGTTACCACTTAGATAAAGTGTAGATGAAACTTACCTCAGTACCTCCAATTTGCCGTTTTCCTTTACGAATAACATCTATGTTTATCTGGGATAGACGTTCAGAAAATGTCTGGAACTAAATTTGAAATAAGAAATACAACGAGTAAGAACACATTACTATGTTATTGTACTATTAATTTAAATCATTGAGTTTAATACTGGACTCTCACCAATTTACTCTCTGTATATTAAAACAATTCTGAAATTTATTACTTTGTATTGGACGTGCCCATTCCTAGTTGTGGTAGAGAGGGGTCATGTTTTCACAATATTTCTTCGTTGTTAGTAGATTTGTCCCACATTTGAATCCATTTTATGTTTTCATTATTAAGCAAAACCATTATGTAAGATCTATGTTGAGAAGTACAAACTGCTAAGGATTCTGGGTAATATCATAATTGGTTCTCAGAGACCAACATGTTTCAAAAAGTGAAACAAAACTACTAATCGAGAAAGAATATTGAAACAAACCTCTTGTTGGGTGCTTATTAGGATGTAGTCTAGCATTAGATGTAATTTACTTTTTAATTGTGATACCGTATTTATCCGGGCATGCCCATGCCTGGGCAAAGGCCCATCCCTCAATTTTGATACAATAAAGAAATTGAGGTCATGTCCAGGAATATCTTTTTCTACACTTGTAATAAATAATGTTTTGTTTGTATGTACAAAGAGTGGTTGAAATCAGGTAATTTTTGGCTTTATATCCATAACTGGGGCCAACTTTTTTACCATCTTTCATCACTGCTATTGCATTTCTGTCATGAAAATTTTTCTTCTGTTGCTGGAGAAAACAAAAAATTTCCTATTTCAAGCCCATCGCAATATCCATATAGTGAGACATTCCAGCCGCCGACTTGGACTTTGAGGGTTTTGACTTGAACGAAGATGGCAATGAACTTACAAATAAAATTCTGAGAAGTTTTTTCAAACAACTATGAACTTAATAGTAATAACATAATTTTACACAGTTTAACTCCTGACATTTTAATTCATTTTCAGTTCACACGTATTGGACATGTTTGTTGGTGGGAAAATCCTTATTCAAATGATTACTCACTGTCGACTTTTATTATTTCTAGTTGTCACATTATAAGCAATAAATTATTCTAGTTTTACTTCTAATGTTGCATGTTGTTAATTTATTTCTGTTGCATGTTTTTATTCATCGTTCTATTCCCTGTCACTGTTCGATCTGCGTGTTGCCAATTTTCGCGAATTGTCAGAGAGTGACAACTTAAAATCAAAGGCAAATTTTGTTTTCTTTAGAAATCTGAAATGATTAAATTTGCATGATAAAATGGCATTTTATTTATCTGTTTGGATTGTATACAAACCATGCATTGTTTGAGGGACGGTGATTGTGCATAAAACACTGTTCCTGTTGAGGGACTGTGATTAAAGTTGAAAATTGTATATACCCTAAATCCGGTTTTATACATTTTGTATTTTAGTATGAAACTGAAATATTTTAAATTTTGAGATGTTTATAAAATAATATGAAATTCGTGTCAATGCGTTTAAAAGAAACATATTTGGAGCTAGATTCGACTGACTGATTACGGGTACACATGTGATTACGTAATACGGTCGAATCCCCCATACAGTAGTAACCAGCGACCTTCGACTAGTCAGCTGGTGTGTGCATCTCAATAACTAGCTCTCCAATTAAATACTATGTTCAAACAACATACCGTATAGCGATTTTCATTTTGGTGATGTGCTGACTTAGAAGTTCTTTTCATCATCTTGACTAATTTTGAGTGCAGTTGCCCAAATTATATAAAAAATCGGCAAAACAACTACACGTGTTGACCACAAGCCGCCATCTTGTTTAAAAACCCACTAGCTTACTGGTTATTTCTACGCGAAAAGTTAAATTCAGAAATTTGTCCTAAAATGGTAACACAATTATAATTTCAAGTATAAGATATTTATGATACTTTCTCAATTATGTAACGTAGTTTATGCGTTTCCAATTATGGCTGATCTACTAGAAATACATATCTATTTTTGATGAGTAAGCTATGGGGCCTTTTGTCACGATATTACTGCTGTCAAGATCGAGGTGCTTGTTTGGATTTCTGCAAATTGTTTTTCTATTACTTTATCAATTTGAAAAACAGATAACAGGATGAGTGTACGGTGGGGTGATCTGCCTGGACCGTCTGAAGCAACACATTCTATGACCGGAATGGATGTGGAACTTCCTTTCGTTCACCCGCAACCAATAGAAATCGAGGGACCAAGACTTCATCAGCCCTCTCAACAACATAAGCCCAGTGTAACACAGTAAGTATAGACACCTTAATAAACCTGCATTGTTACGACTAGGGGTGCACGTGTGTTAGAGTTTGATTTCGGTGGTGTTGTCGAACTAACGAGGGTACTCCTATGCCGCATCTCGCTTATGTACCCAACTTCCTGTTATTAACAAAAATATATAGTGTAAGTAAGCATTCTTTTGTCTTTCTGAGCCACAGTCCCTCAACACTGTGTCTGAGCTAATATTACTATCGTCCACATCAATGAAATAAACACCACGGGAACACCACATTATGAAGAGAAAGCCTCATCATTAAAAGTTGATTCTTTTTAATTTTTCCTTGAATGCATTGTACTGGTGCAAGTTATACCTACACTCAATTTGAGTTATTCAAGTATGTGGTTATAAGATGTGAATATTTATAAATGTAAATTTAAATACAAAGGAGAGGATGTGATTGGCTATCATGAAGCTCACTTGTACCGCCCTCCATGTACAAACAAAACATTGCTGTTTGGATGACGCTCGGGTGATTTCATAATTATACTCGTCTGCGTTAGTGACATTAGTCAAAGTTTTCAACTTCAGTTTTGAGTTTTAAATGAATCATAAATCATATCTATGAGTAACCTGAAATGAGTGTACAGGTATTTAATATTGGATCACAGATTGCCAATTTTCAAATGTCAAATTGTCGGGCAGAATGTAAAAAACAAACAGAAATCAGACTAGATAACCGAACCTATACGAACCAACCGGTGAACCCCCCTAATTTGATGTTTTTTCTTTTAAATTGTCGATACTTGTACGTGTCATTTATTTCAGTTTGTTTTTAGTATGTCCCATTGAGAAGCTTATTTGCTGAAAATATTTAGTTGGAAATAAACACTAAATTTTCCAGGAAATTCCTGTAAAAATAATATTTCTAGTTAAGACAAAATCATTGCAACGTGGCTCTGTGATCCAGGAAGTAGACATTTTATATTCTGGTTCTCAATGCTGTATCATGTGAATCGATCATTTTGTAAAGATAAATGAAGGAGGATTTAATCAAATCACTTGATGACCTCAAGCTATCTTTAGAACAGAGTGGAAACCAGCACCTTCAATCTGTTTTTTTTTTTTGTGAAGTGCGCCCTCAACAAAACAATTACATTTGCCACCTAAAATAACTTAGCACGAACCTTGGCGATGCTAAAATAGGGAGTCGGTAAATGATGGTGAGCCAAAAAAACAGCAAAACAGTTCAGAAATTATTGCTGTAAATGGAGAACAAAATCCAATACTTTCCATATACCCCGGTATAATTTGTTGCATTTGCAATGGTAAACATCCTGTAAAAACATCATTAATTAATTATTTAGGCAATTATGAACAGATTAATTAACAGCTATATAATCAAATTAGAATTCACTTTACATATATGACAGTGCTTCTTTTGACTGTCTTGTAAAAAAGTCATTTGGGTGTCCAAGATGGCTGCTTGTGTTTAACTGTCAAACTTAGTTGTTCGCTCTACTCATAGTTCCACTAAGTGTGAATGCGTTACACTACGTATATATAAATGATTGTGATTCTTAGAATAGGCCGTTACTATCTCGTACATGTGTACCATTACATTGAATTTCACTTAGGCATGAACATTTTTTTGGATTTACTGTAGAATACTTTATTTTCGCATGTAATTTATTTTCGCTATTTTCGCTGAAAGGATGATTCCGTGAAAATAAAATCCAGCGAATATACTTTTTTTCCAATATTTCACATTAAATTCATCAAAAATCAGTGAAATAAAATTCCATACAAAATGCCCAAAAAGCCTTTTCAGCGAAAATTAATTCCAGCGAAAATAAAGCATTCCACAGTATAAACATTTATAAAGATTATCAACAGATAAAGTTTACATTGACTAGAGAAGACCTATTACCTATGTTTAGGTCTTTGCATTCTGATCAACATTAAAAATGCATAAATATATCTGAAGCTCTATTGCAGATAGACATTCAATCACTGCTTTTATTGAAGACATTGCACACTAAATCTGATCAACATATTTAATGTCCATATATGGTCATGTGACCTCATTAATAATATCACTATTGGAGATATAGATGTTCAACCAGTGCTTGTGAAAATGGGTGTCGAGAATCTGCCATCTCTAATGGCTTTCTTGTCTTTTTTGGGTTTTTCTAAATTGTTTATCGAATTAGATTGTAGAAAAAGAAGGTGAATTCGAAAGTTGGGGTTACCATGAAATAACTGAACCTTTGAAGCACCCTCCGCTGACTGTAGTAGATGGAGATGAACAATCACACAATAATGAATGCCTAAGTTTTTCTTTTTTCAAACAAATTATCTTGATAATACTGAATTGTTTACTAGGATACCAGCCGAGTTATGTCGACCAGATCCAATTAGTATTCATACAATACAACTATTAAAACACAATCGAAGACTACGCTCTATGATATCAGTAGCCCAACAACACCAACAGGATAGTGTAAGTATTGTTTATAATAGATCATTCACAGATATAAAAATGTTTTAAATGCTCAGGATTATTATTTAAAATTCTGAGAAACATTCATTTTAATTCCATGCAAATAAACCTTATTTAAGGTGTTTTTTGAGATAAAATCACAACATTCCTCTGTACTTTTAACCTTTTGATTGCAATAAACCCCTCCCTCAATGTATAAAAAATGTATTTTTTTATGTTTGTTTTTTTCTATAAAAGATTCTTGTCGATTGATTTGTGGTTGAAAGTTGACTTTGGCATTCAAATGGTTAATTTTCTAAAAAGGGAGGGGGGTACTCCATTATTTTGTGAATGCCAAATTTTGTGAGATACAAAATTCAGAAAATGTTGCTACTTAAATATATCTGTTTGGTTGCTTAGGGA